ACCAATGCTTGCGACCCTCAGCCAAAGCATTTAGTGTCTCTAACCGCAGCTTCTGGTTGGTTGAGTGTGACGTTTGTACATAGACTATGAACTCGTTCGTTTTATTGAATACGATATCCTTGTACATCCTCGTTTTCCGCATTTCGTTAAGCGCTGCGCTCTGATCTCATTGTGAGTGATGGTATTGGGCAGGATTACTAGTGCTGCGCAGATTTCGATACGTATGCGAGTTACCAGTCCTAGTGCGAATCACGGCATTGACCTTACCAATTCAAGTCCATTAACTAGTCCGTGCAAAGCGCTTCTTCACATCCAAGCACCTTTTTATACAAAACTCAAATCCGTCCAATGCTCGAATACTGACTGCAGTCACGTAGGGGGTGGAGCCTCGCATCCCACTCTTTCTCTCCTCGATCGCGTTCAACGTAAGGTCATCTGGCTGATCCACAAATAGTCTTTAACTTCTAACCTGCGGACGCTTCAACACTGCCGAGTAGTTGCTGCTTTATTTCTTTTCTACCGTTACCATTTTGTTTTCTCCTCGGCTGAACTTGCTTCAGCGGTTCCCCTTTCATTGGCCTTTTTTCGTCCATCTCGTTCTCAGGCGGGTAGCCACCGCTGTCAGGTTTCTGTTCCCAGATGTCGCACTTTTATCTTCCAGTCTATCTTTTTTTCCAGGACTGCGTGATCGTGGGACACTTTTCCCATCTCCGTGTCCCCAAGCACCTAATCTTACTCTTTCCAACAGCAGGATTAACAAATTGATTCTCACTTGAATGTTCCCTAAGTATCTTCCTCATTTACAGTTTATCATTGATTATAGGGTTTAACTCTTATGCTGTAAATCACTTCATATGTAATAAGAACGTCCGTTCGGCAGAACTACAATCACTCCGTTTTAGTTCAGTGATTTGCGGTTTTCCTGACCGATGGTGTAGAGTTACGACACGCCTCCAAAAGCCTCAGTATGGTCAGCGGCGGGTGTCTACAGTTGTGGCTGGTCACCCCTCCTTTGCACCTCGTGAAATGCTCCCATACAACCAAGCGTCTCTAATAGCCTCT